GAAAAGTATAAGAAATATTTAAAAATTATATCAAAGTAAATATTTTTATGTATAAAATAAAAATTTAAAATTATATATATAATGTCGGGTTGGTTTTTTTTAATTAAAATCAAACCAATCCAAATATAGTCAGGTTTTTTTTTCAAAACCAAACCAAGTCAAACCAAACCACTAGTTAGGTTTTTTTTCGGGTTGACTCGGTTTGCGGTTTGGTTCAGTTTTGTACACCCCTAGTTTGTATACATTATTGCATGTGTACGTAAAAAAGTTTGATACTATCAGGTTATTTAAAAGATAAATATATATGATTATTAATGGGTACTTATTGTTGGTTTGACTGCTACCTAAGCACTCAAAGAACCATGTTCTTTAAGCATCTATGCAAGAAGATAAATTACGGAATAAAGTAAATCAATACAATTACGGAATAAAGTAAATCAATACAAATATTTAGCACGAAAAACTCGTTGCTTAAAGGAGGAAAAAACTAAAATCTATCTCTATAGGTTTTTTTTCTTTCTTCAAATTTCCACTAAACTTGAGCAATTTTAAGGTTTCAACGGTCTTTGTAACACCTAAGGAATTGTTCCCAACAGTCCCAATATCTATCTCCTTAGCTCTTCTCTTCAATGACTCTACCAGATCAACGAAGTCTACACCTAGTTTTTATATAGAGAAAAATTCAAAAATAACAAAAATAATAGACATAATAAGTCTCTATAACTATAATTTCGGTAATTGCGCTCCATAGCTATAGTTCCGTTTGCTATGGAGACTGTGATTTGTATATGTCGCTTGCCCGTTTGTATATTTCGCTTGCAAATATACAAAAATGATAAATATATATAAATGAAGGCTGTGATTTGTATATTTCACTTGTCTGTTTGTATATTTCGAGCGAATATACAAACATAGTAAGTATATACAAACTCTGAATTTATACATTTAGAAACTTTTCAGAACTATGTTTGTATATTCCACTTGCCAATATACAAACAAAGTAATTTATTATGAATTTCTTATAAATAGTATACAAATAGCTAGCGTAAGCATATACAAATTCTGGATTTATACAATCATGAACCAAATTATACAAATTCTGAATTTATATAATTAGGAAATCGAATAGCAAAATTTCACAAATTGTAGCCACGGATTAAAAATAATCGAAACTATAACTATATTACATAATATATTCTAGATATTTTTCATTTCGCGTTATTTTCCCTTTTATATATGAACATGTTTTCTACAGCAAGAAATATAAATAAAAGGTGGACGTATTCTAGTATTATATTTGTCAAGAAATTAAGCTTGGTGGTTAATTAATAGGGAAAATTGTATAAAATAATAAATTATTAATTCAAATTAAATGATATAGCCATAGTTTATTTTATTTGTAATTCGCAGCAAACATCCCATTTTTTTGTCATCTGGTTCGGTATACAATTAGCCTTTTTCGGTATACAATTACCCCTTCGGTATACACATGTATAAAATGTATAAAATGCATTTGTATTTGTATAAAGCGAGAGAAAAGTGTATATACAAATACAAATACATATATTTTTGTCCTATACACTTATAATTATACAAATACAGATCTTATTATACAAATTACAATGTATAAATGAATTTATACAAAACTGAACAATTTGTATAAAATTGAATGTATCGAGCGAATTATACAAATCAAAAGCTCCATAGCAAACATAAAATTTGTTATGGAGCGCAATTATGCAACCTATAGCTATAACATACAAATATGATTTTTATGTTTGCTATATGGGAAAGTTGTTCTAATTAATATCCCACTCAATTTTATTGATTACTTATTACGTCTCTTTAATTGTGAAAGTGAAAAATACCTTTTTCTCTAATTAAATAAGGCTGAAAAATAAGGGAGAAATGGGTTTTTAGTCTTTTATCAATATTTTTAGATTTATCTATTTTTTCATACTTACATGATATAAAAATAAAAAAAAGACATTTTCTTTAATTCAAATTGTAAAAGAGAAAGAGATCTCATTTCCTCGAAAAAAGATAATGAATCTTTCGTACACTAACAATATTATTATTTGGTGGCAGTAATATAATTTGATAATTTTAATGAGTGCAGTAAATAACCTGTTATAATTATATAGTAACTTTTAAAATATATTAAAAGTATGAAAATTACAGTGTTAGTCCATATAAGTTAAAATCTAAAAATAAAAAACGGGGAAGACTAGTTATTCACTAATATGTTGTGAGAAATATAGTGAAATGAGAATTTTTAGGCCCATAATTGTTGGTGAGTGATGACCTTAAAAGGCCTCATACTATGGGTCTTCATTAATTTTAGGCCTTCTTCATTTTTGAGTACCAATTTATGAAGAGGACGTTAACCTGTCGCTATTTTTTGGGTGTAAGAGTAAATTCCTCATTTCTATACAATAGCTTGTAAATTACACAAAGAAGATAACCCGCACTAGATAAGTCCGATCCGATGCGATGAGATTGACCCAGAAGGCAAATTTCTTGTTTTAGCTTCGATACATTTGACTATCTCTATAATAATATTTACCATCGCTAGTTAATATAAATATATATTATATGCTTATCGGTTATTTTTTTCTGAATAATCTATTATTTAACTTGATTTCTCATATATGAATAAATGAGTTTCATTATGTTTATGTGGGTTCTAGGAATCTTATACTCTATGGATTGGTTCCTAAGGCTATAACCCATGATTTTGCTTTAAAGTGATTCATCTCGAGATTGAGTAGAATTCTTCATACTTCTAAGATCCAAGATCTGATCAACTAACTTGATTAATAAACTACATTAGATATAAATTCATTTTACTTTTATAATTCATTTTAAAGGATGTCCATTTTTATTTTTATTTTAAACATTCTATCGCAATTTTCTTCTTTTTATTGTGGCTATATTTATGATACAACATCCTCATGTTCTTATACACTATATTGCACATCATTTTTTTTTAGGAAAAGTCTTGCTACATTTAATATAAATAAAAAATATTACTATATTATGATAAATAAACTCCAAAATCTCATTGTTTATGAAAAATTCTCTTTCTTATTAGTCGTTTTAGCCATTCAACTTACTAAATTTTCTTCCCAAATTTCTTGGTTTTAGTTTAGGTAATGTTTTTTAATATATTAATAAAAATTACCATTTGACGGTTACTTCATAATATAAGTAAGGCCAAATGGTCTGATGGACCCTTGTACTTGTATCAGTTGTATTATGGACCCTTCTACTTAATCATTTGTCAACTGGACCCTTAAACTCAATTAAAATGAAACTTTTAAGCCCCGCTAACCATGTGTGTAGCTCACTCTCCTTTATATAAATGACATGTCATATCCACGTCATATATATTAGTGCCATGTCATAATTATTTCATAACTATTTTTTAAATTATTAACCAAAATTATTTAATAAAAGGTAAAATAATAAAATTTTAAATTATTCTTTAAAGTAAACCTCCATATCTTATTCTCCCCAATTTCACTGTCCACGGCCAAAATATACCGGAGAAGCCATTGCCGCCGTCGTCGCCATTTTTGCCGGCGAAATCGCATATACTCTCCTCACCTGTCTTCATCTCCACCGCACACCATAACCATTTGCCTTTCCTCCTCCAACCTTTACAAAACCAACAACCTAAGCCTGGTCATCACTAGATCTGGCCGAGAAGTATCAGATCTAATTCATGAAAGACGTTGCAATGTCTGAATCTACCAATGAAAGCTATGCAAGGTGTAAACACTATATTTCACCTGAATCTACAAAATTGTTCAGGGATCAATGAAGATGCATTTTCAACATAAGCTTTCCATTCTCAGGTAGCCACTAAAGGAACAGATCCTTTAAAAGGAAGCATGCAAGAATAGGTTACATACTTCACAGTATCTATCAATATTGTTGGTGGTCTCACTCCACTGCGATTCAATGTGGTCTCTGGCGAGTACCACCAACACCGCTTTCTCCCTCCGTGGTTAATCAGTGGACTCAAGATGTGCCCAAGATTTGGTAAATTGATGTTAACAGATTGTGGAGAAGAAGAAAGAAGGGTTGGATATGCAAAAAAATGGTTGAAAAGGATGGGATAGTGGTGAAGAAGTAAGGTAATTTTTTTAATTAATTGTTTTTAAATTTTTTATTTACTTTTTGTAATTTTAATATTTTTTAACTCAAAAATGTTATTCACTCGCCTAAAGAAGCGTGTAGTTACACATTTTTGCCAACTCACACATTCTAATGCCACATAAGCCTGGTCAATGGTCAGATGGATTTGTTAAATTGTGTTTTATTGAATATAAGGGTTCAGTTGACAAGTGATTAAGTAGAAGGGTCCAGAATACAAATTGATACAAGTACAAGGGTCCACCAGACCATTTGGCCTATAAGTAATAGAAATCTGATTGAGTTATAATATATCTTTCCCATATTAGGTAGTACTATATAATGCATTTTGTTACATATCAATTAGTTAAATTTTTTATAATTCAACTCTTAAAAGTGGACGGAGTTAATAATATTTTGATTTCTAAAAAAAAATGGTTGCATTTGCATTGTCCCAAAATTCTGTATTTCCTAATCTCCACTCTGCCGGCGACTGAATACCGACTGAGCCTCCGGCGATTCCGACCTCGAATCAGAGCAGCGTCAAGGTACTATTCTCTCTTGCCATTTGGTTAGCTACTTCTAGTTTACTACTTGAATGTTGATTTTCTTTTACAGTTGAAGGTTGAATTCATAAAAATGGAGTAGTTGTTATTGTTCGAGAGGACCTTACCTGTTCTTCACTTTCCCATTTAATTTCCTGGCTTTGATAGAGGCGAATAGGTGTAACAGAGTTGAACCAAAAAAAAGAAATCGTTTCAGAAATACCTAATTGAACCAAACCGAATTTGAAAAAAATGAACAATTTTTCTATACCTTTGGTGGTACACCCATTCAATACTCCGATAATGTATTCTCTTATGTAATATTTCTTTGTGATCTGCTCAAGTAAACTTGTTCCATCATAATTTATGATGGTGGTTGTGGAACCTCTATTGAGATATTTGAGGTACAAAATTTATGTCTCGGCTTCATATTCTCCAGTAAACTGCAATGGTAGAAATGTTTTGGTTGAATATGTTTTCTTGAGCAATGAGAACCATGTAAAGATTTTATCACCACTTCTATACTGAGCATGTATGTGTGATGGATTGATAATTGCGTGAATTGAAATTAATCTTCTTAGATGATTGAGTTCTCTCTCTGTGCTTTGATGTGTGTATTTTTTAATGATAATGTGTCTATCCTTTGATGCTTTCCACCAACTTAAATCACAGGTTCATATTTAATGCTTTTATGTGTAAAATGTTTCTACCTTCACTAAAGAAGTTTGTAGTTTATGGTGCAATAGAAGTTCTGTATTCAATTCTTTTTGGTAATGAACCTCCAGCTACTTGTTCAATTCCAAATTGATTTGAAGATTTCCTCAAATCCAGAAGCTAGTTGGTTGATGGAATCGTGAGAGAAGCAGAGGAAGAAACTGAGTTTGAGCAGTTGGAGTACTGGAGTTGTTCCTCATCACTTGTTTTGTTCCCAAAATAAGAATGAGGATAGTCGGACTGACCGGAGGGATTGCTTCAGGGAAGAGCACTGTCTCCAACCTTTTCAAGGCTCATGGTATTCCCATTGTTGATGCTGACATTGTAGCTCGGGTAACTACGTTTCCCTTTTCCTTTTGCTATTCCGTTACCAGGTTTATTTAGGGCATCAAATATAAAGAGTCTTAAAATATTATGCTTGATTAACTGTCAATTTGGGCATATTATCTCCATCCGCTAAAATTTGTGCAAGTTTTTGGCAAGCTCTATATATTGACAAAAAAAATATAATTATGTAGAACGTTTTGAAGAAAGGAACAGGTGGTTGGAAAAAGGTTGTTGCCGCATTTGGTGAGGATATCTTACTGGAAAATGGAGAAGTTGATCGTGCAAAGCTAGGTCAAATAGTATTCTCTGATCCGGGAAGACGTCAGCTTCTTAATAGGTAAAGTTTGGTATGAAAATATGAACTAGTTGCTGAGTGAAGTTCTACTTTTTTAGTCTTCCTGGTTTATTGTTACATAATTTACACGTTCAACTTGTCTGATATAATGCTATGATAAAGGAAAAAATGGATCAGCAGATAATTAGTCCTGTAATCCGTCTTTCAATTAGATCAGCAGATAATTAATCCTGTATTCAGTCTTTCTGGGTCGAGCTCGTCGCACCGGGCTTGCATAGTGTGGGTTACCTCTCCTATGTGCAGTGGCGGACCCATAATTTTCGTTTCAAGGGGTGCGAAAAATAAAAGTATAAACGTGTATATATAAGCCAACAAAATAAAATTTCAAGAAAGTAGTAGTATATAGTTTTAGTGGCGGACCCTTGAATTTTTTTGGGTTTAAAACCACACTTTTAGCATGTTTTATAAAATAAAAAACTAAAGAAAACGTGAAAAAGGGAACTGAAACCTTAAAAAAAAATGAAACTGTAAAAGAAAAAAATAAAACGCTAATGTAGGGATTCGAACCCTGTACATGAGGCTTAATTTTCAGGGAACCTGCTGTTGGGCTATCTCTGGGGGTTCAAAATATATATATCCACACAAATACAGAAAATTACCTTATATATACAGTGTAATTTTTTGCCCAGGGGGTTCGGGTGAACCCCCTGGAACCAACGTGGGTCCGCCCCTGTTAATTTTCAGGGAACCTGCTGTTGGGCTATCTCTGGGGGTTCAAAATATATATATCCACACAAATACAGAAAATTACCTTATATATACAGTGTAATTTTTTGCCGAGGGGGTTCGAGCGAACCCCCTGGAACCCACATGGGTCCGCCCCTGCCTATGTGGTTTGCAAGTTATTGCATAGGAGCTGGGGCTTTACCTTGTGCGCACCCAAGGATAGCGGCTGCAGGTTTCCTTGTCATTAAAAACAAAAAATTGGATACTTTTTGTCTAATCCAAAGAAACAAAACTAGTACTTCCTCTTATTTTCTTATGTTCGCCGAGTAACATTAATAAAAAAGGTTCAGGATAGTTCCTTTCTACAATCAAAATATATGAAAAAAAACTTTATATCTGGAAAACTTCATCCTATAGCTGATTCTGGTTTGATTTGGTGTGGTGATTTTGGAGCTTCCTTGAGAACTTAGGTTCTCTTTCCACACAAATGAGACAACTTGTTTCCGTGCCTGGAACTTGAACTCAGAGAAGTAAACATGAAGTGTGAACGCAGAGAAATAAAAACCATAAGTAAACTGCTATCAAACTGTTATATTTCAGAATATTAATACTAAATGCTTAAAACATCTCTTATTTTTTTAATTTTTTTTATGTAGATTTAAAACATCTCTTATCAATGACATTTATTTTACTTTGGTCAGTAAAGAGTATAATCTCTTTGGGATTGGCAGTTTAGTAGCTCTTTGAAAATTGAAGGATTAAGGCATAGTTGTTTTTGTTACATTTACATTAATCTTGTGTTTACTGTAGTCTTTCCTTTTTAGTTAGAGATTTGTGAGTTAGTTTAGAGAGACATGTGAAATGTAGAAACCTGCAGTTTTATAGGTGATATCATTTTTTAGGATAAAGGCATGGTTTTTTTTATTACATTTACGCCAAGTCTTGTGTTTATCATAGTCTTTTCCGTTTAGTTAGAGATTTTGAAGTCGGTTTAGAGAGACATGTGAGATTCAGTCATTTAGAGAAGCTCCAGTTTTATAGAACTCTTATTAGGCTTAAGAAAGTCAAGTTATTGAGTGATGAAATGAAGTAGCCTGAATAGAGTGAGAACCAATACAGAGCATATAGCCAACCTCAAATTATTATGGGCTTGAGGCTTTGATTGATTAATTGAGAGTACAATTCGACAACAAATATAGAAATTAGTCAACTTTGTGGGATGTTATGCTTGAAGTTTAACAGCGAATATAGAAATAAGTCAACTTTGTTGGATGTTATGCTTCAAGGCACATGACCATGTTAATTGGACCTTCCTTCTTAAATTTCTAAAAGGCATGGCCTTTGGTGAGAAGTGGATTAATTGGATCTCTTCGATATAAAGATTGTGAAATTTTCTATCTTGGTGAATGGGTGCACAGAAGGACCTTTCCCTTCCGTGAGAAGTTTGAGGCAAGGTGATCCTCTATCACCATTCCTGTTTCTTATTGCAGTGGAAGGACTGAACCAGTTGTTTAAGGTGGTGAAGGACAATGGTCTTTTCTGAAGGGGTTTAAAGCTGCAATCAGGGAGGACAATAGTGCTGAGATTACAACAGATGACTCTGTGATGCTGATATTGACCAAGTAAAACATCTGAGAGTTATTCTGGTGATCTTTGAAGTAGTATTAGGGCTACATGTTAATTGGAGTAAGAGCATGCTATTCCCAGTTAAGGAAGTTGCCAACATCCAGGTGCTAGCAGCTATCTTCAGATGTGAGCGGGGTCATTACCAACTATTCATCTAGGGCTCTTCCCAGGGGAAACAAGTAAAGCTTGAGAACTCTGGATTGGGGTATTGAAAGGTGTGAGAAGAGGCTAGCAATCTAAAAGGGTCAATATCTCTCTTTGGGAGAATATAGTTCTGGTAAACTGTGATCTGGAATCTGGATGCACTATCTACATATGTCATATCGCTGGTTCCTTTTTTTTTTAAACATTAAAAGTTGTCTCTGGTTCCTCACCTTGTAAGGTAAGGAACAAAATTGACACATTAAGGAGGAATTTCATATGCCAAGGCAACAAAGACAAGAAAGTACATTTGGTTAATTGGAACAGTCTCATTACTAACAAAAGGAAAAGAGGCTTAGGCACAAGGAATCTAAATGCTCATAATCAAAGCTTGCTTGTGAAGTAGTTTTGAAGGTATTACTTGGAGACTAATGCTCTATGGAGAAGGGTTATCCATGACAAGTATGGCCAAGATGGACAGTGGTATACAAGAATTGTCAACAACCTCTATGGGGTGAGCCATTAGATCTTCCTGGAACTTTATGATTGACAACACCGGTATAAGGGTGGGTAAAGGAAGAAGAACTCTATACTGGAATGATGACTGGCTTGGAGATGGCTCTGTGAAAGAACTGTTCCCTGATTTCTATAGCATTGCAACACTACCTGAAGCAAATATAGAAACAGTGAAGGGAGTGCAGAGGTGGAACATTACTTTCAAAAGACTACTACATGACTTGGTACTGGAAAGAGTTGTTGAATTGTTCAAGATATTAAATTCCTTCCATGGTCTCAAAGATTCTGAAGACATTTGATCTGGAAGCCTGGCAAAGAAGGGGTCTTCACTGTCAAATCTTCCTATACCTTATTATCTAGGTCAAACCACCAAATTGATCACTGGCCATGTAAGTTCATATGGAAAGTAAGGGATTCTTTTAAGTTTCTATGTTTTCCTGTCTAGTAGCAAGAGAAACCTACCTTACTCAGGAAAATCTAAGAAGAAGGGGATTCCAGCTATGCTCTAGGTATCATATGTGTGGTGCTACTTGGGAAACTAGCAGTCATTAATTTTTACATTGTTCCATTGCTGGGCAACTGTGGCAACTATTTCTCAACATGGTAGGTCTCAGGTGGTCTATGCCAACAACAACTTGTGAGTTATTGATGTGTTGGAACTACGATGGTGGAGCAGTGAGGCAGAAGAGGTGGTGGAAACTTGTCCCAGCATGCATGGACAATCTGGAAGGAAAGGAACTTTAGATTTTTTGAAGACAAATACAATTTTGTGCAGAAAGTCAAGATGAATTGTATTCTTTTGTTTCATTTTTGGTGTAAAGAAAACTATGTAGAGGAGGATGGATCACTAGTTGATATGATAGGATCCTTGTGAAGCAGTAGTCCTAAGCATGGTTGGGTTTTTGTAATGATTGTTTCCACTATTTACTGCTGTTTTGACTCATATGTTCATATGTACATGTTACCATTTTAAAATGTGGCCATATCGTTGTCTTATGACAACAATGATCAAAAACATTGGCCACTTGAAATTGTACCTTTAACATTGGCAAACTGCTGCTGCTTCTGGGGATTGGTATTCCGTTTTCGGTATTTTATTGAGTATATTAGTAGCCTTTGAGGTTAATCCAATGGAAATATAGCATTAGCTTTCTATTCTGCTGAAGTTGACACTCAAAAGGATCTTGGCTTCTTGAGAAACAAATTAAGGAGCAGCAAAAATATCTTGAATAACAAAATGTGGGAGGCTACTAATTTATTTCTTGCTTTACTCCAAATTATATTATATTTTGGCCTAGTTTTATCAGATTGGCTAAGATTTGAATTGGTGCAGGATCACATAATGGTTTTTGTTGCAATGTAAGGTTTTGAACATGGGATTGTGTCTATGTAGGTTGCTAGCACCATTTATCTCACGTGGTATTTTAATGGAAGTTTTGAAGCTGTGGATAAAGGGTTGCTCCATAATTGTTCTTGATGTTCCTCTTTTGTTTGAGGCCAAGATGGATAAGTGGACTAAACCCATTGTTGTAGTTTGGGTTGATCCTAAGACACAGCTGCAGCGGCTCATGATTAGAGATGGATCAATGGAGGAGGATGCCAAAAGCAGAATAAATGCACAGATGTCCCTGGATCTTAAGAGGTCACAGGCAGATATTGTGATTGATAACACCGGTTCACTGGAGGCTTTGCATGAACAGTTCCAGAAAGTGTTGACTCAGATTACAAGGCCCTTGACCTGGACCGAGTTTATGCTCTCAAGAAAGGGAGCTTTTCTGACATTGTTCTCCATTTTTGTCGGTGTTGCTATTTGCAAGAGAAGTTCATGAAGGTAATAACTCACCTAATTTGATTTAACACAATGTATGCATTTCTGTATGGCAGAAGAGTTACTCCTTAATCGAGCTCTACTGTGTATGTACTAATTATTATTATTATTATTTTAAATAAATTGTGTGTGTACTTGCAACATGAGCTTTTATGCTTTATTAGATACTTGTTTGAGACGTTAAAGTTGAAGTATGATAATTTGATTGTACATTTGGACTGATTCAATGAAAGGAGGGATTCTGCTGCATTTTGGAATTCCTTTGGAGCATCTGGAACTAACTTGATCTAAGATTTCTTTTTTTCTGTTGAGAATGAGTTCTCCTTCCACCACCACCCCTGATAAAATGATTTTCCTAATAGGATATTGTCATGTGCTGTACAAAATAAATAAGGCCCCCAGTTGATGATTGGTGTACAATGGCATCACAATGTGCTATTCCAGTGTTGTCTTGCTTCCTGTTTCCTAGTGACTCTTTAATTTTTGTTAGAGGCATGTAATGTTTCCAAGGTTTTGCTTTATAAAATATATCTCCTAGGGGTTTCTGGGATATTAATGTTATTATGGTTAATTTGTTAATTTAGAGAAGCTTGAAGTGTTTTTCTTTAAGAATATCTTGGAGAACTGAAGATACTCCTAATGGCTAATTTTCTGGAATGCTCTAAAGCTAATTTTAGAAATATCTACTACAGTTTGGAGTCCAATTGGGGTTTTTGGCTCATATTAAATTATTAATGGCTGACTTTTATTGAAGCAAAAAGGTTGGAAAGAAAAGTGTGCTGTGTGGTTAAAGAAATCGTGCTTAAATTATTGCTGGTTGCTAAACCTGTTGTTTATACTATTTATTGTTTCAAAATACCTGATTCTTTTTATAAGGAGATCTGTAGTTTGCAAAATTTTTGTAGGAAGAAAATAAGGTGTAGTGTCCATAGTTTTAAATCTAGGTATTTGTACTAGTGATCTAGTATAATGGATTTTGGTCTTAAATCTGATTGTTCTTGTGGTAGTAGTAGAGACAGAGTTTGCCCTGCTAAAGATAAGAACTGGAACTTAGCAGAACTCCTTGTGTTATCTAACCTTTTAAGTTAACGACACTATCTTGGGAAGCTAAGAATTAATGTTTCTGTGCTAATGGTAGGTTGATTGATCATGCAGCGAAAACCCAGTCAGAATGGAATGAGGTTTATATTGTCAATTCTGTACTATTCCTATCATTGTCATTGGTCCTGTATAAAATTTTCCCTTTGATGGCATCACTACCTGTACTTATTCTGGCTTTAATGATACCTATTCTAGATTATATTTTTCCACAATGGCTTGCTCGTTTCATGGCTGAACTATTGGTTGGATTAGCTCACTTTTCTGTAGGTTATATATTCACTTATGCGGCTTTCTTGATTGCCTCTACGTCAGGCAAATATGGTCAATCTTTTAATGTGTGTATCCACGACAAGTTGTGACAGGTCATCTCTTACTGCTAAAGCTGTTGCCATTTGTGATGGATGCTGTATTAAGGGCTGAGCGTGATGTTTAACGAGTTTATCAATATGCTGACTCTCAAGCTGGACATGTAATGATTGGTTTCAGCAATTCCGGACGGTATTACAGTCCTTGTTCAGTCGATAAGCTTACTTTTTTTCTTTACTGGAAAGGATAGAACCAAGTTAGTCTTTAGCTGAACTTCCTACACATGCATAGTTTTTTTTTTTTTTTTTTTTTTTTTTATTTGCACCGGGTGTCCGAGTCTCTTTGAGCCCCGACTAATCCCGGGGGTGCACAGGCCCTCGGCAAGGAGTTTCCCGCAAGTGCTCCTACACATGCATAGTTTCAAAGGACATGTTCTTTTATGTGGTTTCAATGGAGTATTTCAGATGGGGTGTCAGTTAGGTAAGATGATATGATTTAGTTCATTCAAGAACCAAATTATTCTTATATTGGTACTCTATAATCGATCATAATCAATAAACATACAATATTCAGTGATGACAAGTGCATACTTTTGCACAAGAATTTGATATTAAGTTTATTCCTTTTTAACTCGATATGCACTAGAAAGTGGACACCTGAGCTACCAACGAAATCATCAATGTCTTGATCAAGAAGGTCTGGAGGAAAATCCCAAGAAGTTGTCATTTACCTTAATCACATCATCTGGGCATCTATACTAAAAGTCCTGGTGCATGTTAACTGGATTGACCCTGTTTCAACTAAGCTTTTGACAAAGATGCAATCTTCCATGATGAAGTCACAGTCAAGACTCTAAGATGGAGGGAGGGGCCACGATCCCATCCATTACATGAGTAAATCAGGAGAAACACAGTTTAGGTTGAGGTTCATGACTAGTTATGTATATAGATCTTGGTTGACAAACATGGTTGTTGGAGATTCTGATTGAATTATAGAGCATAATTATGATAATGATACCTGTAACACATCTTTATTTTACGTCAGACTACGGGAGGGACTTTGTTTATATCTTGGCAACTTTTAATAATTAACTGAAATGTATCGCATGGATCATACGACTATATTACAGATGCATTCAAAAAGCAAATGGAAAAGGAACACAAGCCTGTATTCATGGAATAAAAGTTGCCCAAAGCGTACGCCGATTTGTAAGTGCATTTTCAAAGTAAAAGAGGCATGTATCACTAGTGAAATTGGAAGTTGTAAGATGTATTTAAACCTGGAAAAAATTACCAAAACAAGAAAGATTACTTGACATTTAATGTCTTAAACTAAAGCCTAGATTTAGTTCTGAATACCAAAGAGAAAGCAAACATCCACAATGGAACCACAAGTTACTGCAAGCAGAGCATGCAATATGAAGAATCAGCAACATCCATCTCCATAATCATTATTGAACAGTAATTGAAAGCTATAACGAAGGGTTAGAAAGACAAAAGACATGTCCCAAAAAGTTCCAAACATCCAACTGAGTGTTTTTCATTAGTCGAGTAACAATTAAAACAAACGCAAGTGCGAGATGACACTTTTAGATGGAAACATGATGAGGATGGCAAGTTCTCTGTAGGCAGAATTTATAGAAAAGAGGTATCTTGGATGCTTGAGAACAAAATAGGTCCTTGGAAGAATGTATGGAAAAGTATGGCTCCTACTAAAGTCAAGTGCTTTGCTTGGTTAGTAATCACGAAAGCTTGCCTCACTCATGAGATCCTGCAGAAAAAGGGATTGCCAATTGTGTCGAGATGCATGTTATGTAGTGAGGCTAGAGAGACAGATAATCATCTGTTTCTCCATTGTAAAGTCGCATCTCAGCTTTGGACTATGTTCCTCAGTTCAACAGAGACAAAATGGTCAATGCCAGAGCACACAGCAGACTTGTTAAGTTGCTGGATTAGGAGAGGGGGAAGCAAGACACAGAAGAAGTGGTGGAGAATAATCCCACACTGTATCTGGTGGACTATCTGGAGGGAGAGGAATGGAAGAAACTTTGAAGATAGATTCAACAGCATTCAGAAAATCAAAGGGAGCTGCATTGCAACTTTCTACTTTTGGTGTAAAGAACATTGTATAGAAAATGCTGAACAATTAGTAGATCTTTTAGGATTACCGTAATTAGTCTCTTGTTTTAGCTTGTTACTACCTTTTTGGAGGTCTCCAGCATACCTTAATGCTGAGGAATACAACATTACCAGTTTCAAAAAAAAATTCAAAAACACACTACGTCATGATACACAACACAGATCAAATATAACCTTTTGTTGTAATAGAACACAAACCAAGGAACCACACAGAGCATTTCAAACTCCACTATCTCACTTTCATGAAGTTACTTGCAATCCTTTGAACAGTAACCAGAATATCCCAAACTGCTGATCATGCCGACTCTTCAAGATTGAAAATTGCAAGTTTTCTTTAATTCTAATTATCAACACAAGAATGATAGTAAGTGTAGCAACCAGTAATCCACTTCCACCAGCCTAGCATGTCATCTCAGTTTTAAATTTTTTTTAACTCTCTAAGATTAGTACTTAAAAATCTCACTTCTTCAGACTTAAAACAAAATAAACTGGAAATAACATGCATTAAATTTATAACAGAAAACGGTTTCAATTTCATGGGTTTCTACTGTCCTCTTAGCAATAAGCAGAATGTCCCAATCATTGGATCATGCTTACTTACACACTCCAGAACTGAAAAATGGGAGTTCTCTTTAGTTCTTATTATACAAGAATAATACTATTTGTAGCAGCCGCTGTTCCATTTATTCTGGCCTAGCAAGCAGTCTAAATTAGAAAACAAGTTTTGAGGGACAACTCCTAATATTTGTACTTGAAGATCTCACATTTTCGGATAAAAATAAAATGAACCAGAAAAAACCATTTGATATATGGCATAAAGAGTGAAGATATAAATCTGCAGGTTCTAATAGCTCCATTTGTTCTGACAAAGCATAGTCCAGATACGTAGTGTTTTACCTGTACACCTTTCCAATTGATGGCAATTACGGATTATAGCTATCTCATAATGAACATGCTTCAACAGCTGAGGCTCTTTCGTGTTGGACATCAAGATTGTCAAACAGCTTCATAAAAGGTTTATTCAGAGAGATGTATGACTAGGTTTATATTTTTCTAATTATATTAAGTTTTGCTTTTACTCTAAGGCGATGCTTTCAACTAGTTTACTGTTTTTAGCAAAAGATGTAGAGTTCTGAAGAAGAAGAAATGAATACGAAAAGAAAGAGAAGAAAAAATAGCAAATAAGAATAACTAGTTTTAAAAAATGAATGTAAGATGCTACATGAATGCTCTTTTCGGCCTATGCCTACGGCCCTACAGTGTAGCTCCTACACACTACAAAGAGAGTGATGTCACAATGCTGGGGTAACAGCAACACAGGGGTTTTGGCTTAAAGAACATTATAAGCTCAGAAGTAACATAACACCTCATAGTTTTAAGTATTTTACTAGCAAAACGTGAATAATTTAGGAGAACTTTTAGGTATCAACTCTTTTTGTATTGCATAGAAAACCAAATCATTTTAAACATCTAATTCTAAAAGTACATAACATTCAACTGCTACCACAATATCAACCATAATTTTTTTTTAGAAACTACCATATATATAGTCAGAATGAAAGTAGGAAGGTCTTACAAAATGCATACACACAATACTTGTTCTCAGGTTGGATGTTTATCAAAACCCCAGCAGCCCAAGAAAAGTTGGAAAAATATTGAACCTGAACCAAAGGCAAGGCCTCAACTCCATCATCTCTGTCACAATCTGCTCAAAAGAAATAACTTTCCTTTTGGGCTGGTTGCAAACAAAAGATGAACCCCAAACTTCTTTCTTAAACCTTCTTTTGATGAATGACGCTCTTTGATAGAAACCATCATTTTCTCACCGCCTTTTATTGGGCGTTTGAAATGTCGTCTTGGCATATAGCTCACCCATGCATAACTCTCATACCGTATTGCAATATCTACACCAAAAAGAGGATATTCAATCCCATTTGTCAGGTCGGTGATGATGGCAATGGGGGTTCCATCACAATGTTCTCCTTGAGATTCACAAATAGCCCAAACAATCATGCCAAGAAATTCTTGTTCCATGTATCGTGGCACAATCAAAGATATTGAAGATCCCACAACCCGATAGCCGAACCAACTAGGAATCTCATTGCAGTGAAGAAAAACATTTACGCCATTGGGTGCAGAATTTGCCTAAACATGGATCAGAGAAAAGGTGTCACATAGAGAAGTGTACAAGGGAAAAACTGTGTTTGATTTATACAAGTGACAGAGCAACCAACCTTGAAGAAGCCTTCAGATAGAGGATTTTTTGTGAGCATACAACCTATTGCATTCATATACTTCAAGTATTTAAGGTTCTCAAGGCCCCGAATCTCAATCAATTTACTGCAATCACAGAAATCCAACAGTTGCAATCTGTTTGCACTTGACAAATCTGGAAGCATTTCTAGTGACCTGCAATTCCTTGTGCATAGTTCTTCTAGGTTACAAGGAAGATCTGGGAGCATAAGGAGATTTGGGCATCCATAGAGTCTAAGGGTTTTTAGGTTGGATAGGTGACTAAGAGTGAAGGGTAGGCTGTGAAAATTATTTCCACTTAAATCTAAGACTTGCAGTGAGAATAATCGGCCAAGACAATTGGGAATATCTCTTTGGCACAGATTGAAGAAAGGAACTTTTAGAACTTCCAAGGACGGTAAATTTATAATAGAAGATGGAAGAATATCATGATCTTTTGATGTTAAAAAGGATGAAATGATGGAAAGAAGAGATTTAGGTTCTGAAAGTTTCCAGTCATTTCCCACTTCCAAGAGTTGAAGATTCTTCAGAAGTCCAAAAGACACTGGAAGTTGTTTAATAGATGTTCCCATTACATAAAGTGCCGTCAAACGCCTAAGATTCCCCATGTCAGCAGGCAATTGTTGTAGATTTGTACAATCACTCAGATATAGCTTCTCGAGCGATTTCAGCTTGCAGATGCTATCAGGTAGTCCCTCGAGTTTCTTACACCCAGTGAAATCTAAATACACGAGAACCTCCAAATATCCAATTGATGAATGCACCTCAGTCAAACTCGAACAACCTCTAAAAACTAGTTTCTCAAGCATTGGTGAACCAGTGAAGTCTGAAGTTCTCATTAGGCTCTCACAATAGCTCAGATCCATTATCTTCAAACACCTTAAGTGCTGAACAAATGAAGGAATGTATTAACTCCGGAATAGCAGATGTAATTGTTTAAAATCAAGGAGTAAAGTTGTAGAACATCAGACCTTTGTACTAGGGGGTTCTTTGAGGCTACTGTATTTCACATCCAAAATAACAAGTTTGTCCGGATGCAAATCCGATGGGAAGTGTTCCAAATGGCAATGATGCCATTTTAACACTCTAAGCTCTGTAAACATGTCCTTGAAGCTCCCTTCAAGAGGAAGATGATCAATCTGGAGTAGTCTCAGGTTCTTCATTTTTGAAAATCCTTTTGTACTCACACGCATGTCCTTAAATACTGGTTCTTCTAGCTTCAATGCCTCAACTTTTTCCCCTCCCTGGATTCATGATGAGAAATAATCAATTCCATCAAGACATACAAGATGTGCTGGAAATAAATTGATCAAGATTAAGGAAAGAGATGTCAGGTGAATAAAGTCGGAAGTGGAGGGGTCAAACTATTAATTCTTTTCCATAATGAAAGAAAAGCGAAGCACCTCATTAGCTAATGGCTCAATTCAAAGCTTAATATTGCAATGGCTATGGTTGTGTGCTTCTCATGCCCAATTGATATAATTCCTTGAGGAAGAGACTAAAAAAGAAGCAAAAAGGAAAATAGGAAGAATAATAAGCAAAAACTACTCTACATGGATTGGGACCTACATCTGGTATAAGGTCAATCATTAAATTACCAATACATGCAGAGCTTCTAAAATACTATAATTGTGAATATAATATTTATACGTAAATGATAAATTTTCTTATACATATATATAAATGATGAACCAAAAGGTAGAGTAATGTGGTAGCACATGCTGCTCTTACAATAGATCCTTGTGTTAAATGCAGAGAGGGGATGTTTGTAACCGAAAAAAATAAATATGTTATACTTTGTTTAGCTAATTTTTGGCAGTGTTGCTGTTGTTCCTACTGTTGTTACCTTTTTTTTAAAAAAGATTTTCCTGGAGGTGAAAACTGGCCACTTCATAGGTGCAAATCTTTGAACCAAAAAGTCCTTTTGATCTTTCAACGCATAAAGAATGTCTCTAAATTTGAATAAAGCACAAAGGATGTCTTATAGTGATGAGGCAAAAAATTTCAATATTGCAGGACAATGGGAGTACCATAAAACACTTTTCTCTGACTTTCAACTGTTTTTCAGATATTTGTAATCCTTAGAAGAAGAAATTTTAATATGAATATATAAAGACTTCAGAAGACGCATGAGAGCAAGTTATGTGTGCCACATTGACTAGCTAAAAAGTAAAGCAAGTTTCCATTGGTAAGCTTCTTATTAAGGTAGTGCTTAAGAACTTTTTCTAAAACAAATTTTGAGGAGACCTTGTTTTCTAATCTTGGGAAAGTATAGGTCAGGCTTCAAAGTAGAATGAACCATTACCTTGTGCCTAGTAATCAAATCACGAATATCATCAGGATCCCACAATCTGCTACGGTCACCTGGATATTTGGATTCTCTACGAACAATTTCTCTTCCCATATCTCTAATCAGATTATGCAAGCTCAGTTGATTGGATTCATTTATTGTTGCTAAACTCTTCTCGATCAAGACATTAATTCCGATTTCAGGGAAGAAACCGCAACTGCTGAGGACTTTAGAAACATCTTCCTTGTCCCATCCTTCCAAGAAACATGCGATATCAAGGAATGTTTCCTTAGTTGAATGATCAGGGAGACCATCATAGCTTATTCTCAGTTTCTCTACTATCGAATCGTGAGGGATTTGCTTCAATCTCTCAATGAAACTTTTCCACTCTACCATGCTTCTTCTATATAAAAAGGATCCCCAAACTTCAAGTGCTAATGGAAGCCCTTGTGCATATGTTACCAGACTTTCAGAGATCTCCACAAAGTCTT